TAATTACTCAACTTGTTTATCACATATGTAGTATTAGATTTATTTGTTTAAAAAAAGAGATGTTTTGCTTGACTCAGTAAAAATTAGCAGGGGCCCTATAACAAATAGTGAAGTAAGTCCTTAGTGACATATGATGGACATTTTTCAATTTGTTGAAGTCCTATACGAATTTTGAGAAGCATTTGGAAAATAATGGACGTTCAGATATTAATTGAGATGAATTATGCTCTAAATTATATGTCTTGAGGTGTTATTTACCAAGCAAAGCAATGAGAGCAATTAAAATGCTACAATATTTGAATACATCCAAAATGTTAAGAAATTTTGTTAATTATACCTTATCTCCAATCAATTATATCACAAGAAAGATTGAGTAATTGAATTTTGTAGTCACTTTGCGGCCATAAATAATAACAAGTGTGCTTTGTTCAAGTTTGTCAATCCCACGTTGAAAGTGTTTTATTGAATTTTCTTAATCTCAAATTAAAAGTTTATCAATTATGGAACTTAAGAAATAGATATAAAAGAGATCCATAGGGTAGAAAAATTGGCAAATGGGTTGTCATCTCTAAGATATATATATAAAAGAATGTCTTGGAAGTCCCCAGTTTTTCGGTTATTTGATCAATTATTAATTAAACGATTAATAAAGTATAATCAGACCGAGTTTTGATTTGGTTCCCAAAATTTTTCTTTATAAATTTTGCGTGCATGCTATAATTTTGGAGCCTAATTTACGAAATTCGTCACAGGCCTCTAAAATCATAAAACTGACACTGACCATAAACACGCGCTCCTATAGAAGGAGTAGATAATAAATTTTTTTTTTTTTTTACTCAATGTAAAACAGAATCACTCATTCTCTTCACTTAACCTGTAATCATGCGAATCAAAAAGGTCCTTAAAATTGAGCATAAAATCGAAAATGATAGTCTTAACACAATTACTCGCTAAAAATTGAGATATTCACCAGCAAGTTCTTCAAGGTTGAAATCGTATAGATTAACCACGTTAATCTTGTTGCAAGGCAGCTTCTCATTATTGATCTTTTTCATCAAGTAATGAACAATAAGTTCATCATCAGTAGACTTAAAACGATAGTCAACAGGCAAACTATCGAAATATTCATAATCATTAAGTTCGTTAAAGAAAATGGGATTCTAATCTTCGAAATTCGAGTAAAATAAGGGCTCATTAACAGCATCGATTTAATTGGGCATGTTCTGACTTGTAGAAAAACAAGAAAAATGTCCTTAACAATTCTACTCTTAACACAAAATTTGGAGTTTCTTATGAATTCGACAAGAAAACAGTATTAATTCTACTCTAAGTAAAAAAAAAATAAAAAATAAAAAATTTCTAATAGAGCCCTTTTATATGCGAATCTCGTGTATTCTAGTTTCATCGAACTTCTTCTTTTTCTTTTTTCTTTTTAATCTATCTCTTAATTCTACAATTTGATCAATATTGAAAAATGTACGATGTACATGCAACCCGGCTAGCAGTTGTGATCTATGCTAAAAATGTGCTTTTAGTAGGGGAAATAATAAATTAGTGCAATTTCAAAAAAATCATGTTCTTGTGTTTTTTAGAACATAAATCTTTGTCGTAAAAAAATTATAAAAAAAATCTTTTATTTTTCCTTATATCCTATTCTTCATAACGGATAAGACCATTTTTTTTTTCCCAATCTTGTGTCACTTTGTATTTTATAATTAAAATTTACAATCAAAATAGTTACGGCAATTGAGAAACATCAAACTAATATTCGTGCTCGTGGAAAACAAATAAAGCAAATAATTCACTGACCTTTCCATCTTCTTCGTTTGTACAATCGTCTTCATATAATGAATTTCATTTTTTTTTAATTTTTTTTTTTTTTGGCCTAATGTGTTGAGGTCTTTCAAAAACAAACCATATTCAAAATTTTCCTCCAACACCTTAGTACTTAAACAATATAATTGGAAAAGAAACAAAATCAATAAAACGAGCAGAAGCAAGAAAATACTATGTTCATACTTAAACCTCATGAAAGTGTGGATTGCTTATATAAAAAATTTGATTATAAATTACAAAAAAAAAAAAAATAATAATAATAATAATAATAATAAAATTAGGTATTGCAACAGCAATTATTTCTTTTCAATTTTCACATTTTTTTCACTGTTGTTAACGGTAAACTAATGGATTTTGATGGCATGGAGTATTTCGAACATAAGGTTTCAAATATGGGCCCTTTTTCTGGGATTTTCAATAGATATGAAATAGAGGAAATTACATAATTTCAGGTGTTTAAAGATTAGAATTCAAAAATAAGGGACCAAGTTTCATTATTCAAAAATCAGGTATGAATATAATAAATATTACCCCTAATTCAATTTCAACCCTAATTTTATTCTCTCTCTTACTCACTCTCTATCTTTCCCGTCTCTTTCAGTCCCTGTGCTACGCCGCCGTTGGAGCACTCGCCACTAGAGACCTTACCCATTTCATTTCAATTGATGATATTGTGCCATCGCCACCACGTAAGTTGCACCGCGGCGATCTTTACCACGTAGCACGGTAGGCCTGTACGAATCAATGTGAGTTGCCACCGGGAAACAAATCCACTCACTTACTCCGACGACTCTTCACAGGTGAAGCACCACAACCAGCGCGCAAAGTAGAAGCAGCATTGTATAGTGGATTTGGCAGTTGGGGGTGGTTTGTGTGATGGTGTTTGTGTAGTGGTGTTTGTGTGGTAGTGTTTTTGTGGTTGTATGGTGGATTTGGTGGTTGGGGTGGTTTTGGATGGTGGCTTGTGTGGTGGAGTTTGTGTGGTGTGGTGGCGTTTGTGTGCAGGCAGTGGTTGTGGTGCAGTGCAGTGGTTGTGTTGCTGCGGTGCGATGTAGGTAGTGGCTATGATGATAGTGTAGGCGGCGATTTTTCTGGTGGTGGATGTACGTGGTTGGCGGCGCTGCACGTGATCTACGAAGAAGTCGTGCGTCCTTCTCTCTATTGGCAACATGAGAAAAAATGTGTGGTTTGGTGAGAATGACATTGCAATCGGCGTGACTTGGCGGTGGTATTTTTCATGTTGGTGGTGGTGGTGTTAGTGGTTTGGAGTGGTGGTGGTGATGTTGGCCTATGACTTTAAAATTCGGGTGGTGGTTTTTTTTGGTGTGTTTGGTGGCGATCGTGGATTTGGTTGCGTCAATTTTGTTGATGTTGGTGTTGGTGTTGGCGGTGGCGGTGACGACGGGATGAGGGTGGTTGTAAGTGGCGGTGGTGGCAATGGAGTTGGTGGTGACTAACTATTTGACTTATGACTTTAAAATTCGATCATCTGTGACTAAAAAAAGAAATATGTGACTATTAAATTTAAAAATATGTGACCTGTGACTATAATTTTTAGGATTTGTGACCTATAATTTTTTTATCTGTAACCTCGACATAATCTGTGACTTATCAAAATTGTGATTTGTGACCTCGAAAAAATCTGTGACCAATTAATTTGATGATACGTGACTGACAAATAAAATTTGTAACCTATAATTGTGAATATGTGACCATGAATAATATAACAGTGGCTTTATTATCATTATTTAATAAATATTTTTAATTAATTAGCTAAAACCTGATTTTTGCACTAAAGAAACTTGTAACTTGGATTTTGAATTGGGTATAGTTAACACCTGATTTATGAACTCTTCCCATTGAAATATATCGCACATTCTCAAGTATGTAGGAGGTTTTCTCGCATTAAGCCTTAATAATATACACGACATCTTTTTAAAAACTTATCTCATAACAAAAAGAATTAAGCTTGTTGTATACTCCTAGTGTACAACAGTTTGACACTCCATTATGAGTTAAGATTTGAGTCATTAGTTGTTTAAAGTGGGTTAAAATCAACATATAAAAAATTGTTCATCTTATAACAGTGTCAAACATAATGCATGTATAGCAAGATTGAAAAAGTAACAAAAAATGGGCTTGCATATTAAGTCTCTAATTAATGGGAATTAAAATCAAAATTTTAATAGATTTCGATAAAAAATTAATAAAATAGGGACTAAGTCAATAACAAAATCAAATATTTAGGTTTACTGCACCAAGGTTTACCAAACGCTGCTCAATTATTGCTCAAAGGTTGGCAGGGAAAGGAATACGGAAAGGAAAACTCTTGCTGGCTTTCAGCAATTTTTCTGACATGTTTGCCTTTTGGCCTTTCAGTAAATAGACTTTCTCCTTATCTCCTTAGCTTTCAAGTGATCATTGAATATTAAAAGCCTACTGTCAACCCCGTAATTAATGGCAGGTAACTCTCTACACTTTGCTAATTGTACTAATTTGACTGTACGTCCATTGTTGATAATTAATCGTGAAAATTAATACGTCCACCAGGGTCTTATTGCCTCAATAATGAGTCGATTCTTCAGCTTTTTTTTTTTTTTTCGTTATAGTTGCACATTGAGTCCTCGATGAAAAGCTTGAAGAGTCAGGTCTAACCCTATCAAACCACTTTTGACCTAACCTTGTCTACAGCACATCTAAGGTCTAAATAATTAGGTCATTATTGTGTATTTAAGAACAATTTCCACTAGCAAACAAACACACTCCTCCTTACACATGCCATGCCAACCACTAGCAATCCTTTATATTCTTTCATTGGCTATGCCATAGAAAGTGCTTGACATAAAGAATGACATAATATTCGTTGGCAAGATGTTATTTGACTGTGTTTAAAACAGTCCAATAACGAGGTGTCATATAGTATTATGTCAATCATTATATTACTGTAACATGATTCTTTTTTCATCTCTCTCCAATAATATAATGCAATCCTTAGCGCACTATACCCCATATTGATACCTAATCATGCTCCTTTTTCCTTTAAATCATAAACCATTCATCAAATACACCCACAACTCACTCCTCTATAAAGCTTTTCTGCAAGAATTGCAATTGATTTCATCATCATTTCAATGGCCTCTTTCTGCTTTCTTTTAGCAATCATAATGACTTTAATGGTTCCATCTTTACATTCTTTACCGTCTGATAAGATTTCTTCCATTTCTTCTGCACCTGCATTACCGCCAAATCCACCACTGTCCCCTGATGTTTCTCCTCTTTTGCCTTCTCCTGGTGGGGTGGTGCATCCTCCCACTGGATCATCTTTACCAACCATTCCCTCTGATTCCACTCAGAATCCCGATTTGACGAACCCCGTTGGACCGGATACCGCGTTTGCACCATCCGGGTTGTTGCAGGCTTCCTCGACAGAGTCGAGATTTCTAGTCACAGGGTTGAAACTTGGAACTTTTGTTGGTTTCTTGGCTCATTGGTTAGTTCTGGTTTTTATGATCTGAACTGGATTATCATTTCCAACCATTCTCTCCAGTACTAGTCTTCAGGATCCCTTTATAACATGGAACCGAATATCATGGTTGCACCATCGAGGTTATACAGTCTTCCTCGACCGAGTCGAGATATCCAGTGAAAGGGTTTACTAGGAACTTTTGTTGGGTTCTTGGCTTATTGGTTGGTTCGGTTTTGGGGAGAATTCAGTTTTATTATTGTCTTTCATTTTATTCTAGTGTGCCTTTCTAAAATCATGTAAAGTTTCCATTCTTTTATATAGCACTTATGTACATTATAATCCTCTTTATTCCATTTAATTCATCTCGACTGACTTTCACTTTTTACAATCAAATGCTTTGTTGCACGCAGTAATAATCAAATTATTTGCAACTATAGAGACTTGCATTGATCAACTGCTTCTCACATTTCATTTAAAATAACATTTAGAAGAATTAATTCGATTTAGTGCTACTCCTGAAATACTTGTGGATATAAAAAAATAAGGACAATACTTGGGGTACATAATGGATACCATAATACCCAAGTGGCGCTCCCTATTGGCCACCGGCGCCCTCTCCAATAGGGAGCGTCACTTGGACATTATGAATACCATTATCATGTCCATTATGTTCAAGTAGAATAATCCAAAAAATAAAATAGCTGATCGAGATGTTGTTTAGAGAACACATTTTCGTCAGAAACGACGAGAAACAAGGAAGAGGTCATTGCGAAAAATAAGCTATAAAGTAAAGAGTTTTCTACACAAAAGATGCTTAATATGTTGAAAAAGTTCATTAACTTAATGTGTAGGCATTCCTAGCTGTAACTATTCTGGAAATTATTAAAGTGAAAAGGGCAAAAAGCATAATCTTTTCCAGTTTATTTTGTCCTGACTTTGCTAATTTTTAATTACTTGGAGACTTTTCTAAAGGTTAAGTGACACATGGAAAGGCCATTTAATAAAGAGTTTGCATTACAAGTGCACATGATTACACCAGATGACTGTATATTGCACCACAAGAAAGTCAGTTCTTGAATTATATAAACTCTTTTCTCATACTTTTCCTTTTTCCTTTTTATTTTATTTTTTGTCCTTTTCGGTTGTAGGATTTCAAATAGGGTTGTGCTGCTTGATCAATTCCCGGGTTATGTGGCACCCTGCTTCAAATATTAATTGGTGGCTATCGAGCGACAATTTTGATACCATACCAAAACCGAATTGTAACGTATTTGTAAGCACAATGCATTGTAAGCGCACATTTCATATTGGATCTTTTGTCCTTTTGGGTTGTGAAATGTATTATAGACTTGACACTTCGATTTTATACTAGACTTAGACTTAGCCCATGTTTGATTTGGATTAAAATTCAATTAAAATTTCAAGTCAAAATCGACAATTAATGGTGAGGAATTAGATTCATCTGCTTCAACATAAGACTAACTTTAATATTGCAAAAATTATAAAAGAAAATGAGAAAAAATGAATTATTCTGAAAAGGAAAATTCAAATTAACATTTGAGAAAATAAAAAGAAATGAACGGAAGAAAAGGTAACATCATGTTTTGTCCCTTAAAGGAAAAGAGGAAGCAAAGATTAGGACGATACCCAGACATCGTCCAGCAATCCATTTCCAGATTCACCACCAACTACCACCATCTTGTTCCCAACAACTGCTGCAGCATGCTATTTAGAGAATATTCAAATTTTAGGAGAAGTCTAATTTAAACAAGAAAGTGTATGACAGTACGAGACATTACTATATCATATCTAATTCAGTATTCAGGACAAAGATATTACATTGAAACGAGGTGTAGGCTTCTCTCCAGAGACTGAAAGCACCATCCAATTTTCAGAGCTTCCAGAGGTGCAGTTGTTAAGCTCAGGCGCACTAGATGAAGTCCTGCAGTTCAGTTCATCGGCTTCGTTGGTTTTGGATGCAATACCTTCCCCCTGCCGGGATTCAAGAGATTAATCTAGCATGCACTCTTTAACAAAACATTACTTGGAATTCAGTTGAATCCTTACATTAGTGCTGCCTACCTGTTTAGAATGCCTTATTGGACTTCTAGTTCCCTGAGCAGAGTCCGAAAGTTGTGCTTTTAATCTGGGGAAAATACAAGAGTATTAGATTTGTCATATGAAAATAACCTTTTTTTTATAATTTACATAATTTTTGTAAAGCGAGTAATCAAAATGTTTCTACAAACCAGCTAAAAATAAGTAATCTAACTTGCAAATCAATCTTAGAAAATGATAAAAGATCACAGAACACAATAGTAGCAATTTGAATTTAAATCTGGTTATATGTACGTGAGCACTATTGATATAGCACCCCACAAGTGCAAACATCCAATTCTGTTGTCAGAATTTCTAGTGACCTAATTAAGCATTATATGATCCCCCACACCTTACTCAAAACGAACAATTCTCTTTTCAATATCTTAAAACATTGCCGGCAACGTAAAAGGTTAGTCTTGACAGAAAATAAATAAATGATACACATTTGGCCATATCTATTAAGCTTTTAAATTAGATGAACCAGGACATCGTGTTATCACGGCAAGCGAACGTCCTGGTTGCTTTGGCACGAAAAAATGAACCCTCGCTACAAGTGAACCATCGCATTGAGGACAATAATTAAATGGTACACATTTGATTATATCTACCTGATTAAGCTTTTAGATCAAATGATTCAAGGCAATAGTTACAACATTCTTCTCATTCACCCAAAAAATAAAAATAAATTAAAAAAATAAATAATAATAATAATAACAAATAACCAGAACAAAATGATTACTTTCATTGACAAAAGTGGCCCATGTTAAACAAAATGATTAAAAATACATCCACTGATTCTGAAAATATATATATCCCATGTAAATGCATTATTCAGCAAAATACAAGCAAAAAAAAAAAAATGCATAAAATACACATATATAGGCAATATAAGTACATTACCTTCCAACAAGCTTGATTCGTCTTCTTGAAAACCCAAACATTTTGTTGGTTTCAAAGCCCTAAATTTCCACTGCAAAACAAAAATGAAACGGAACCCACATCATAAACGTTGCCTGAAGAAACTTCAAATATTTTGCATTACTAAACTCCCATACGCTAAATAGAACAATAAGCATCTATAAATGACTATTTACCTCGAGAAAGAGAAAGAGAGAGAGAGATCCGAACCCAGAAACAACACAACACACTCAAGAGCTTCACACCACAGACACTGTACCAAAGGTCGACTCTTGGAAATGTATGTTTGGTTAGAGGGATATATACGTATGAAGCTGTATACATCTATCGGTCCATAGATTCAGAATCTTTAAGTATTTACTATCACCGTCGCACGGAAGGTGGGTTGGATTGGAATGGGGGAAGATAGCTTCTTGTCTGTTTGTGTGATGTTTTTACGTACACTATTTTGTAGGATGCTAAAATGCGCTGAGGAACCACGTGAGAATGGGATCACCTACTTGCGTACAGTAGTATGCATTAATCAATTTAAAAATAATCATGTGTGTTGAGGTGTACAATAAAAGAATGCAAATTCTCCAAGCACACTTCGCCCCGTTTGAACCTCCTTATTTCTCGTTACATTAAATTAAAATTTTTTCTCTCTTACTTTTAATCACACAATCTTCAATAAAATGATATTGCACGTAAATCAAAAACTTTCCAACCACTTATTTTTCAAAAAAATACTATTCAACTCTTTATAATCTACAAATAATGAGGCTCAAACGGGGGCTTCATGTCGACTAAAGCTTTTATCATATGAAAGAATAATGTACATTCGTGGCTTATTTATTTTTGTATATTCATCATTTTGTGGGGTAATAAACGTTGGATAAGTAGATATTTTTATATAATAAATATAAATTAAACTATGTTTATCTGACTATCGATGGCCTCTAAAATATGACTAGAAAATTGAATAGAGAAAAAAAATTAAGTGAAATGTTATTGATATTTAGCCCTTATTTGATTTAGATAAAATATTGACAAAAATTTAAGACAAATTAACAATTAAATTTAACCACAAATTGTCGCTCATAGTTTTTATCAACTTTTCAAAAATACATTTTACAATTTTATTCAAAATATACTAAAAATACGAGTTTTGACAAAATTAAAAAGGGGCTCACTTCAAAAAGGTTACTTTAAGTTGAATAATTAATTAATTACATTTGTACTCTTCAAAACTTGTGTTATTCTTAGCCCTCGTTTGCCCCATTAAATTAAATTTTACTTTTCTTTTTCCTATTTTCAATCACATAATCTTCTATAAAATAATATTACACGTAAATCGAAAAATTTTCCTTCTTTTTCAACTATTCATTTTTCAAAAAATACTATTCCACCAATTTTCATTTTCAGAAAATGGAAGCCAAACAGGGGCTAAAACTCGACTCATGTCGTTTGAGTCTTAAATTATAGTTCAATTCTAGTTCTAGTTAAGACTTGATTGTAAAATGATTTGAGCAATTTTCTTAATTACTCAATACTATCTTTATATGTACGAGCTTGTTTGAGCCACATTATTTTCAAAAATATATATTTTTCAACAGTGATTTATCATCATTTTAACTACACGTTCTTCAATAAAATAATATTATACGTAAATCTAAAACTTTTCATTATTTTTTAACCACACATCTCCGATTAATTTGAAATAATAATACATTTTTTCCCTATAATGTGGCTCAAACATGGGCGTAAATTTTCTTCTAACTAATATTAGCATATCCAATAATCTTTTTAAACATGAGATGTTCTTTATTTTAAAGAGTCAACCCTTAAAATCATGTTTCATAGAAAAACTCACTCTCTATAATTAAATGCATTTAAAATATTTCTATTTTCAATATAGGAAAATAAGAAAATAATTTAGAGGAAAGCTAGTTCAAATAAAATATAGAGAAAAATAATAAATATTTTTTGGGAGTAATAAAATTAAGTGTTAAATACAAAGAGTTTGTTAAAGTACTTCAAAATTTCAACTTTCTAAATTTATATATACTCATTAAATGATGAAATATACTCTTTAAAAAAAGAGTTTCTTGAAAATATTAGTATATTAATATAAATATTTTAAATTTGTGGAAACAAGCATTTCAATGTCAATACCACCCATTGTATGCAAGTAATAAGTAGTTGGCCTAAGCAAAGAGGTTGCACCTCTCTCATGGCTAATAAATTATGTCCTATGTCACTTCTAGCTCCAATAGGACTTCATTTCCAATATTTGAATTTTTGAATTTTGTAAGAGCAAAATAAATTAACAAAGTTACTTTATATTCGAGTTATTCACTCGTATGATTGTTCACGATCAATAATTGAACTAAATTCACCGAAGGAAAAAGAAATATCGTTTTTTTAATGAAATAGTTGGTAATGATTGTTCTAATTCATTTCCAAATTTCTTCCTTTTGCTCCCAATCACGCCTCTATTACCTCTTCATAGAAGAAAAGGAAAATTTGTAAGTGGTCACCTATGAATGCTACCACGCACTCGCGAGAGATTCATATATAATGCATTTTATTGTCAATATTTTTCATGAAAAATGCATTATTTCAATCCAAATTTCTTCTTTTGTATCGTTTGATTGACAATTTTTTCATGAAAATAGTTCTCTGCTATTGGTCACGTGACTATATTTTCTTCAAAATAAAGGAAAATATTTTCTTTAAAGGGAATAGAATTTTATTTTATAGAAAATCCACTCTCTCTCATCTACTCATCAATAAAAAAATGGACATGTATAATTTTTTTTTAGGTTGAAAACTAAATCAATCAAATACATTTAACTAATAATTCATACACAAATAAATTCTAGGCAATTGAATTATCTAGAATTCATTTTTTTCATGCAAATTTCATTGCTTGCAATCAGACGCACCCTTAATGTTAATTAAATTTGTAAGGGTTTAGTAAAGACTTGTTTGATTCTCATTTTTTTCAAAATACATTTTTCTCTTCCTTCTTTCCAACCACACATTTTTTAATAAAATAATATTATTTACAAATTAAATTTTTTTTAAAAAATTTTAACCACATATTTTCCATTGATCTATTATTTAAAAATGTATTTTTTTTTTCCAATTAATTGGACTTAAACAGGCTCTAAATTCAAAAGGGGTTAAGAAAGATTTGTAGGGCCCTATATCAAAGGAGATTTTGATTCTCACACGCCGCGTGTGAGAGAGGGAGAATTTCAAATGCAATGTCTACTACTCTACTTGGCCTTTAGGGTTCAAGGAAAATTTCACGATTGATTCCCAACTTATGGTTTTAATAGCAATTTAATACTCAATCTTTAGAAATGAACAAGTTTATCCTCAAACATAAAGTTGCACAATATATTATCGTCCAAATCTCTGTAATATCGATGTGTGGTCTTCATGTGCACATTTTACGAATTTAGATTTTACTTCGCATCTTGAACACAAATCTATATATTTGAAGTGAGAAGTTTTTTCCCACATGGTTCACATTATAAATTACCAAGAATTGATATGATCTGTATCATGGTGAATGATTGTGCAACTACAATGAAATGTAAAGGACCAATGGGATCCCTTTAAAATGCTAAGGATCAAATTTCTTCTACGACAACAGTTAGGGACCAATAGTGCAATTTTTCCTTGGGGTTTCTTCTAGTATCAGTGTTCAAAAATGTTTGTAACGCTTTTAATTAAGTAAAAATGGGAAAATTTTAGATAAAAAGGAAGCATATTTTTGTCAAAACAAAGAATCAAATACACGTTAAGCACATTGATCAAGTCCTAGTTATTAAAATATTAATTTATACTCTTTTTTTGATTAAAATAGTTGAAAACTCCAACCTAATTGATTGTCTAAAGAACATTGAAGTCTACATAAAGATTGCTTCATTTCTTGGTTTTATTAGTTGGAGGGCAGTTGTAATTTATTTATTTATTAAATTAAGTTAATTAATTTTATTGTTTTTCTAAACTTTTTTTTTTTTGTAAAAGCACGTGGTTTATAATGATAATAATCATAAAATTTCAAACAATCAAAAGGATTTTGTTTTTCGATGAAAAACTATCTTAATTCAAGTAATGCAAAGTAATGTAATGATTTTTAGTTTGAGATTGATCATTTTTATTATTTTGGAGTTTCAATGAATATGAAAGTTCTTGCTTGACAATTTTTTTACATGGTTGATCTAATTCAATTAAGTTTATAGAATTTATCACAATTACAATCGATTTTTGTAAACGCTTTTTTTCTATACTCCTCAATATTAAAATGTAAAAGTATATATTTTATGAACTTGAATCTCCTTAAAGAGAACGTGATGCTCACATCTTATTTTGATTACAAATTTGTTTCTCAGTCGATAAGATTTTATTTGCAATTGTTATTTCACTAATAATATTTTCTCTTAAAAAATCTATCCACCTCCAAATTATTCTAAACTTTATGCACCAATGTATGTCATCCCAATAGGACAACAAAGGAAAAAGACTATGAATAAATCTAAAGTCACTTTATTGTTCGGAAACTTTACTTTTCTTTTTTGGAATAAATTTTAGAAAAAACACACAAGAAATATGCTTAGTCGTTTCTTTAATACATTATTGTAAATACTTTGAATTTATGGCATAGGCCAAATTAATTAAATATAAATTTCTAACCGATGAATTTTGTTCTTTTATAGTATTGAGTCATGATAACGATAAAAATAAATCATTAGCAATAAATTCAAATAAAAGAGACATATAAATATGACAAACAAGAGCTAGCTATTATATGTAAATTTTGATCATTTAACGATGTTTTGATTTGTTTGATAGGATGGTCGACTGTAAGTATTGAATAATTTTGAACGAGTAAAAGTCATTAATTTTTTTTTTTACCATATCACATAAATTTTTTGCATGTGGGGTAGGTTTCACTAATGAAAAAAGCAAAAAAGGAAATCGAGAGGTAAAAGCGAAAAAGGAAGAAATGAGAAAAAAAATTCCCAAACCAAACATGGCCTTGGATTCAATGTAGGTGAATCTGTTAATTGAACAATGCTCACTAAATTTGCAAACCACAAGTGCACGGGTTGCTTACAAATAATAAAGTGGATTTTTTGAGTTCGAGTCGATCTCTCAAAGAATATTTCTTTCAATTACACAAGAGTTGATTCAAATTAATGATAGAGACATACACAATTAATTTTTTTGAAATTAGAAATAAAGAAAAATACTTCAAGGCTTAAATTAAATTAACAATTATGAAAGTGAAACGGCTCTAAATTTTAGATGAGTTGGGATTTGCGATTTCATCTGACCGTCATTTCATCAATGTCTCAATAAATAAATAAATATGTAAATTACCAAATTACAATGTTAGACCTGAATTTCTAATTTTAGTTAGTGTTATATTCATAAATTACGTGATGGAGGGAGTCCCACAATGGCCAACGTGGCACTGACTATTTAATT